CTGGAGCAGAACTTGTCTTAAAAAAAAAAAAAAAAAAAAGAGGGAGAGAGAGAGAGGTAGAGTCCCCAACGTGTTTCTAATTTCTCTTTTTTTCTGTATTTTGTATTTTATTTTTTCCCATTTTTTAATTTTTTTATTATTTTTATATAAATTTATTTATTTTTATTTATTATTTTTGGCTGTGTTGGGTCTTCGTTGCTGTGCACGGGCTTTCTCTAGTCGCGGCGAGCGGGGGCTACTCTTCGTTGTGGTGCGCGGACTTCTCGTTGCGGTGGCTTCTCTTGTTGCGGAACACAGGCTCTAGAGTGCGTGGGCTTCAGTAGATGTGGCGCTTGGGCTCAGTAGTTGTGGCTCGTGGGCTCTAGAGCACAGGCTCCGTAGTTGTGGCACATGGGCTTAGTTGCTCCGCAGCATGTGGGATCTTCCCAGACCAGGGCTCAAACCTGTGTCCCCTGCACTGGCAGGCGGATTCTTAACTACTGCACCACCCGGGAAGCCCCCCGTTTTTTTAAATTGAGGTATAGCTGCTGTACAATATTATATGTTACAGGTATACAATATAGTGATTCACAATCTTTAAAGGTTACACTCCACTTAGAGTTATAAAATACTGGCTATGTTCCCTGTGTTGTACAATATATCATTGTAACTTATTTTATACCTAATAGTTTGTACCTCTTAATCTCCTACCCCAGTATTGCCCCTCCCCCCTTTCTTTTCCCCCACTGGTAACCACTAGTTTATTCTCTATATCTGTGAGGTTGCTTATATTCACTAGTTTGTTGTATTTTTTAGACTCCACATATAAGTGATATCTTGCAGTATTTGTTTTTCTCTTTCTGACTTATTTTGCTGAGCATAATACCCTCCAAGTTCATCCATGTTGTTGCAAATGGCAAAATTTCATTCTTTTTTTATGGCTGAGTCATATTCCAGTGTGTGTGTGTGTGTGTGTGTGTGTATATATATATATATATATATATATATATATACACACCACATCTTCTTTATGCAGTCATCTGTTGATGGATACTTAGATTGCTTTCATATCTTGGTAATTGTAAATAATGCTGCTATGAATATTGAGGTGCATGTCTTTTTCGAATTAGTGTTTTTGTTTTTCCCAGACATATACCCAGGAGTGGAGTTGCTGGATCATATGGTAGTTCTGTTTTTATTTTTTTTGAGGAACCTCCATACAGTTTTCCACAGTGGCTACACAAATTTACATCCCCACCAACAGTGTATGAAGGTTTCCTTTTCACCACATCCTCGCCAACATTTGTTATCTGTGTTTTTTTGGTGATAACCGTTCTGGCAGGTGTGAGGTGACATCTCATTGTGGTTTTGATTTACATTTCCCTGATGATGAGCGATGTTGAGCATTGCAGTTTCTCTTTCGATTGGTAGGTCCCTTCAGCCTTCCCAGTCAATGTCTGGATTCTGCTCCTTACCCTGGAAAGGTCAAGGTTTTGGGGTTTAGGATACCCTGGCCCTTGTGTTAATCACTCTGCTCTGTTTCACCCCAGCACATGGGCACTTCATGTTTCAAAGCATTTGTCACATCAGAATCAAGCGATTAACCCAGAGTTCACGAACTTTCTTAGCATCAGATAGGGTCTTGGTCACATCCAGTTCATATAGTCATCAGAATAAAATTGAATTTTTTATTTGCTTTTCTCTTTCTAACCCATGGAAACTAATGTGATCTTAAGTTAATTAGACACACCGTAGACAAGAAAAGGCTTTGTCTAAGATGCAGTAATGAAAGTGAGCACATCCAGTGTAGTGAATGACAGAATGACTTGCTGCTTCTCCAAGTCTCCTGAGCTGTCAAATGCGGGTAAAAAGTCCTACTCTACAAAACTCTAGGAGGGATTTTAAAACCTCAATATAGAGGAAAGTACTTAGCGGAGTCTATAACATAAAGAAGGCACTCTGTAGACATTTTATGAATCAATGAATGAGCGAATCACAATCAAAACAGACCTCTGATCATGAAAGGCGAATAAAGTGACTCCCTTTCCCTGAGCCCTTCTTAAACAGTGGGTTACTCGAAAAAATAGGCGCAGCCAACAGGATTCAGGATCTTCAGTGGGTTTCATGCATCGCTCTGGGCTATGCAAAAATTGTGCATTACTCACCCCTACAGTCAAAGGAGTCTGCAGGATTCCTTGAATGTTCAGGTCTTTCCTTGTGATAGGTCTCGAGGCCAGAGAAGCAAAACATGAAAACCAAGGCTGTCCTCTCACTGGGGCAAAAGGGCACTTCCCTTTATCTTCATCTCCCAAACATACTAAATGTCTCAAAAGACTTCCTTCCTTTGGCTCAGGAAAGAGATAAATGCTCTACTCTGCCATGTATTTCACTTCTCCCACTTTGTGGTGATGACAAGTGAGATCTTGGCTATCGCTGTACATTTCTGCAAGGATAAGCCCATTTTGGAGCTGCTGACGTATGCTCATCTTTCTTTTTGAGGAAGCACAAGCTCTGGAATAGCCTTCTTTCCAAGTCAAGGGCAGAATCCACTTCCTTTCTGATGCATTGACAAAGACATTCACACTTAACACCTCTGGGTTACTTTTTTTTTTTTTTTTCCGGTACGCGGGCCTCTCACTGTTGTGGCCTCTCCCGCTGCGGAGCACAGGCTCCGGATGCCCAGGCTCAGCAGCCATGGCTCACGGGCCCAGCCGCTCCGCGGCATGTGGGATCTTCCCAGACCGGGGCACGAACCCGTGTCCCCTGCATCGGCAGGCGGACTCTCAACCACTGCGCCACCAGGGAAGCCCTGGGTTACTTTTTAAATTATTTTAATAGTACCTTGTTCAAAACCAGAAAACTCGACGATCAATTCTGAAAACTTAGAAAACAAAGAGAAGCACAATGAAAAAAATTACTTATCTTCTAAAATTAGGAATAAGGCATGAATTCTCACCTGAGGAAAAAATATGTCATCCTGATGTAAGGAAGGTGTTTCTACTCAGGTTTAACTTGCTTTTCCCTCATTAAAGCTTCTACAGCTTTGTCAGATCTGCATATGGGAGTCTCATATGTGTGTTATTAGCACAGAAACATATTTTTAACCTTGAAACTTAAATCACATTTGAACAACAAATATTCTGTTTCAGAGGAAATACTTTTTTAAAATTTGAACATCCCAGTTCTTTATTATCCCATGGTGAACGATAACAGATCTGTACAAAAACTCAGAGTAATGGAAAAAGAATGTGGGCAGAGGCTTACACAGAAACTTGATTGTGGCCAAAGCAGTCTGATTATTTCAGAGGAAAATGGTCTTGATGCTTTGTGAAGTCAGTGTCATCAAATTATGCACATTTATTTTTTTGCATCATGTTATTTGCATTTCCAGACCTCTTTTTCTTTCCTCTTGTATGTTCCCTGCCATTCACTGCCTGGGTTGCAGAAAATGGACTACATGGATTTGAAACCACTCTGTGAGGTGTAAATAATGCTGAGTTCACGTGAGGAACCTATTTTCACGACAGTTTCCCAGGCAGACCATTCCATCCAGAGCTATCAATGGAATATTTACC